GCATGTGGAGCTGCGCATTCAATCTATGTTGAATATATACATTAGATTCCTGTATGTGTGTGTGTGTGTGTGTGTGTGTGTGTGTGTGTGTGTGTGTGTGTGTGTGTGTGTGTGTGTGTGTGTGTGTGTGTGTGTGTGTGTGTGTGTGTGTGCCTGCCTGCGGAGCTTCACAGCCTGAGGCCTTGGGTTGAGTTTGATCCACTGTGATGTGCCACTTTCTCTCCAGGGCCACAACTATTCTAGGCCCTGGTTCTGTCATGGTGTGTGTGTGTGTGTGTGTGTGTGTGTGTGTGTGTGTGTGTGTGTGTGTGTGTGTGTGTGTATACTCTTTCCTTTTTTGCATGTTTGTTTCTCACCCATTCACGGCTCCTGTTGTGTGTGCACACAGGTGTTTTTTTCCTGTTCTGGTGTTCTGAAGCATACTTGTATGTTGTTTGTGAGCGTGTGTGGGTGTGTCACACACTCTGTGCCTGCAGGCTGACAACAATTGTTTCCCTTCATTCATTCAAGTGTTAACTGTCCATTCTATTATATGCATAAAGTACCACTTGTGCGTATCTGTGTGTTTTGGTTTGTGTGAAGTTTTTTTTAAATGTGCACGTGCCTGTAGTTATGTGTGTGCCCCCACTTTGACCCCACACACGTGAGCCAAACATTTTGTAGGAAAAGACAGATAGATCGAGCTGGATGAGAAAAATACGTGTTTTTATAATAATTATTGTAGAGTGCTGCCAAAAGTGCCACTTTGGCCTTCAAGCAGTGTTTATTAGTGACACCGATGTGCAGAGAACATCATTGTGTGCTGTTTTGATGAGTTATGAACCTGAAAAGTACTTTTGCAATCTCATTTCACCAGTTCAGTAGCTGCACCTTTCAAGAAAGAGGATGGAGGAACAGTTTAGTGTTGATGGAGCTTCCTGTCAGCTGTTGAATGTTTCTAAAACGGTAACAATTACAAAGGGTATGATAACACTGATTATTCAGTATTCAAAGATATTTTTACTGCACCATGACGTGGTGGATGAACATAACTCAGCTTGTTGAACTCTAGTACCACATTGTTCACCCTTAAAGCTCAGACAGAACTTCAATGTAAAGTCACCTCTGTAAAGGCCTCAGCTTGACTGGAGGGGATCATGTGTGTGTCCGTGTGTGTATCTGTCCGCAACTAATCTCGCATACTGCTGGACCCATCAGCCTCATATTTTCTGTGCATATTTGTGATTGCATGCTCAAGGACCTCTAGTGGTTGCAAGGATTCACATTGTTAGCAACGCCTGTTTTATTGACTGTTCTGTTTTATACTGCCAATGACTGCTGACTCCTCACTGCTCTTAGCCGACTGGTAGCTGATCAACAACTGCTTCAGTTTGGAATCTTGTTTGTGCTATGGACAACATACATACAACATACGAAGTATTCTTTTGTTGGCTTTTTCAAAGTGAAATTTTACATCGCTAGTGTTTTGAAATTGTTCCTGTCCAGATTTACATGCTGAACACACAGCCTGCCCTGCTCTCCTGTTCCCCACCCACATGCCCCCAGAGACACCTGCTGGACATCTGTATCTGTACTCTTTTAGTTTGTTTTTAAAATCACAATGTTATACTGTTTGTGACATTTGCCATGATTCAACAGAACAGACACTGATAAAAGGCAGGCTTGGAAATCCAGTGTATCAGATTGAGTCTGATGCTAAATATATTGTTGCTCAAGCTTGTTGTCTTTATATATTATTTACAGCCGTGAAAGAAGTATTCAAATCCTTTACTTAAAGCAAGGAACTTTCATTTTGTGTTGATTCTGGCAGCCACTGTAGACAAAAGTGTTTCCACTTCCTCCTTTCATTGAAATCAAAAGGAATCTGACCCAGTGGCACGCAGTAATAATAACTAGATAAAAATGACCAATAATCTTGCTGATTGTGCTGGCTTATTTAGGTCACATAGAGGCATCAATATTACATTTTTAATGTATTGTTAATGTTTAGAACATTTAAGCAACACTAACAATAGCACAATGTAAAAACACTCCATTACAAGTAAATGTCCTGCATAATGCTAAAGTACTATCAGCACACTGAATGTATCAGAAGTCAGTGTATTTTACTTACTTATGGATAGTTTAATTTATAACAATGCACTGTATTTCAGAAGCTGTATCCTGTATGTTGTTGTATGTCGAGTATCCATCTGTAAAGTAACTGTTGCTGTGAAGTCCGATATCTTATTCTGAAATGTATTCATGTATTTGTACTTGAATACACTGGTGAAATCTTTTTTGTCGCACTTCACTCTCACACCTCTATCTCCATTAGTGTAATCAGTTTAACCTTTTCAATTTACCAAATGATTACATTAGTGGCTGAATCTGTCTGATAAGTGAAGTCATCTGGTTCACTAGTTATTAAAGAAGCTGTATGTCTACAGGCGTTGTTATCGCTGGTGTCCCACTTTCTAATTACAATGTAAAAAAAAAAACATATTTACACACACACACACACACACACACACACACACACACACACACACAGATCTGACAGCTCGCTCAGCCATAACATTAGATGTCTTATCGGCCAGTTAACCCACGCGGTGACCTTAACAAGGTTATGTCATCTCTAATCATATTTTGAAGCGCACACTGTATGTGCATAACAACATTACGTATGTTAATGCTGAGTGTGTTTGTGTAGGAATGCGCAAAACAGAGGGAAACACTGAGACAAGAGAGCAAAAAAGAAATTGTTAAAGAGAGGGAGGATTTCAAAGAGAGAGAAAAAAATAACCTTTGAAACAATTCTCTCTTCCTTCTCTCCAATTTCCCCATTTTTCAAACACTGGGTTTATCCCATTTGCCCATTATGAAACTTAGAGACAAAAGCTTTCTAATCCTGGCTCTTCTGCACTGCCTTTGATGGCTGGCTGCGTATGCAAGTCAATGAGTGTGTATGTGTGTGTGTGTGCTTGACTACTATATTAGTGTGCTGGATTGCGCGTGTGTGTGTGTGTGTGTGTGTGTGTGTGTGTGTGTGTGTGTGTGTGCTTGGCGTTAGCTACCGCTGCTCTAAGCTGCATCCTGGGTTATCCTACAGCACTCAGTGGTGTGCATGTGTCTGCGCAAATCTGCCAGTGTTTGTGTGGGAATGTGTTTACGTTAGATTAAACTGAACAGAAATTACCTCCGTGGGGACGTTGGGTTGTTGCTGCATCAAGAATAAGATAGATCAAAGAAAAACAGGTTCCACATAAGCAAAAAGGGCTTCTGCATGCAGCTGTCAGAAAAATATACAACAACATGTGTAAAAGTTTCAGTTTCAAAGCAGAAACAGAATGTAGCAATAGTATAAGTATAGCTAAATGAATATCCAGGAAGTATCATCTCCTTCTTCAACCCC